GCGAGACCGCTTCGGCCAGGGACTCAAGCAACTCCTTCACCCCTCACACTCTTCGGCCTGAAGCAGTGGGGGACTGGGGGACTACACCGGCCTCAACAAAACAAAGAGTATAGACAAGGTAACCACAAAACATGGCCACATCATCCACACAGCACACCGGAACCTCATCGGCCAAAGGCCCATAACGTCATTAGCGACGGCCAACAAGCCACTAGAGGCAAGGACACTCATCGTCCTCCGCCAACAATTAATCTTGACGGGCCCTTCGGCCAAGAACACGAAGGCCAACCAGCAACGGCCAAAAGGAGTGCGCAAGCACCCTCATCGGCCACCCAAAGGAAAGGACGCCATCGTCCTCAAAGCAAGGAACAACCTCAACGGCCTCACCGGCCCAAACATAAACTTCAACCACCAACGACCAGGAAAGGGAAAGGGCGCCTTCAACGGCCGACATTGAAACAAGACAGTCATCATCCTCAAACACATTTAAGGAAACAACGGCCTCCCCACCCGCAGCGAAGAACAGGTAACGGCCAAAGCACAGAACAGGATCACCAAAGAGGAAACAACGCCAACGCCGCAACGGCTAAAGGACCGGGGATGCCCGCATCGGCCAAGGGCAGCAAAGCACATAAATCTACTCTCCTTCGCTTCGTCTACGTCTCAGCTTAGAGAGTGGGGGACTCCTGATGGAGTATATGGGTCTGAGCCCCAGGACCCACATACTCGGAAGAACAGAGCACAAGGCAACAGAGTGGCGCCCTCGTCGGCCAAGACGCCCCCGTCGGCCGAAAAGGGGCCAACTCAGATTACGGTCCTGAACCCAAGGAACTCGGGTGCCCTCGTCGGCCGTGCCCTCGTCGGCCACGCCCTCGTCGGCCACGAAGACCTCCCAGAATCGGATTCTATACTTACTCATTTGTACAGCCCATTAGAGGCTTTGTATTCGGCCCAGTAGCGGTCCAGTTGTAAATGGGCCTCCCAAGCCCAAGGCTTGGGAGCCCAACCCTAATTTTCTCTATAAATACTCACCTTGGGAGTAGTTACAGGGGTTACGAAATCATTCTATTGAAGCATATTATTGCACTTCTCTCTCTAGCTCTCACTTCTCTCTAGATATACTCTATCAATCTATATTGTGATGATTATTGACATCTTATATAGGAAAACTCTAGCCAACCAATTATAATTCCATTAATTATGAAGCATGCTTTACATGGCATTTCTAATTTATATGAACTCTTTTAACATTATAAATCAGATTTAATTTTTGTTCTCAAGGCATTACAATTCAGTTTTCTAAATAAATTTAGTTTTTATGAAATATGCAATTTTAAGTTTCTTTTTATCCTGAACCTTTATTTCACTCATTACACTTGTTGAGATGTAGATTTTATTCATAACACATCATTATTTGAGACAATTAAAAACAAAGTAAATCCGAATAACAAAAAGAAAAGTATACCCAACACACTAATTCTAGCACTCAATTGGCAAATACTTCCTCCGTTCTTAAATAAGTGCAATGGTCAACATTTCACATTTGCCGAGACACAACTTTGACCATTAATATATAGAATTCTGTATTAGTAAAAAAAATTAAAAAACAGGTTTTGAAAAATTATAATGTGACAAATTTAATAACATTTTTTTCAAACAAATATATTAATACATCAATAAATAAAATGTAGTCAAAGAAGAACGTGCGAATAGAGTAAAATTCAACGTGTTGCACTTATTTAAGAACGGAGGTAGTATTAAAGTAAATAATTAGTAAATTTTTATTGCAAAGAATATAAATTGGAAAAGCAATAAAATACGGAGTAGCATGCAATTGGGTGTGCTCGCTAACCTGATCTGCAAAGGTGAACCATTTCATTTAGAGTTCTTAGTCTTTGGCGTTTGACCCTTGAAGATTAGTTGATGCACAACTGCAAATATGATGAAAATGGAAAATCTTAATCATGTATGAGTTTTACATTTATACTTAACTCATAGTACTCCGTAATTTCCGTTGTGTTACTCCGCATCTTTTTTAGAAAAACTCTTCTGATCCCTTGTAAACATATGAAGGCTTAAGGAAAACTGAATTGCATCTGGGCAGATTTGGAGTGTAGTGTATATATATATAGGAATAGATATTAGAGATATGGGATATTGTGCACCCTCCCATAGCCAATCATTAAATGATTCCTTGAGAGATAATACACCGACAGTGTATTCTATTTAATGCATCCAACCGGACGTCTTCCTTTTCATAGGTCCATGTGAAGTTTCTACTGCAATTTAATTTGGAGCTTTATAAAGCTTTATTAATGATACTACTGGAATTTTCTAGTGAAACGCTCCACGTGAAGTTTTTGGGCAGGAACTTCTCAACGGATCTCAACATACTAGATCTTGGATTCTTTAGGGCAATCCAGTCTCTAAAAGACCAGAAATCACCTAAGAATGTGGATGAATTGTTAGAGGTAATTGATGAGCATTCTATGAGCTTTCACCCATCACTCAAAACAAGGTGTGGCTTAGCTTTCAATATGTGATGTTAGAGATATTCAAAGTGGGGGGGGGGGGGGGGGGGGGGGGGCATCTACAAGGTACCACATAATGCAAAGGATAGAATGATCACATAAGAAACTCTGCCCATGAACATAGAGGTAGGTGTGGAGCTGCTAGATGCTATAGGAGTAATTTTATCCCATCAAGTAAATACCTCTAATACTAGTCATGACTCAGAAGAGGCAAGTAATGGGCAGTTCATACTAGAAGATGATGAGGAATAAATCATCCTCAGTCATGAACTCAATCGAGTATTGTAAAGGCCTAATTTTTTGTCATTTTGTAAAGGCCTATACTTATTTCAATTTGGAAAGGTCTAAGTTTTTGTCATATTGTGAAGACCTATACTTTTATCATTTTGTAAAGGCCTATTTTTGTGAATTAATAATTGCCTATTTTTGTAGCAACTCATAAAGGAATTCATCATTGTAGCATAACAAAAAACTTGCTCAGACTATAGATGGTCATCATAACAACCTCACCTAACAAACATCATCATAACGGACTCACGCAAACCATGTTAGACCTAGGCTAATGCTTGCTCAGACTTGGGAAGGTCATCACAGCAGCCTACCACGGGCCTTGGTCAGACTAGGGGTGGTCATCATACCGGCCTCACATAACAACCAAACATAGATAACATCACACAAACCAGGTTACACCTGGGCTAATGCTTGCACATACGTGAGAGGATCTGTAACACCCCCGCCCCAGGACCCGATGTAGTTACTCCAGACCTCTAGTACTGTCTTCACAAACCGCCACTAGCCTTTTCCGCGCACTTTGTCCTCACTTGTGCGCGCCCTGAGAAACTTCCTAGGGGGTCACCCATCCCAAGACTACTCCCGTTCAAGCACGCTTAACTTTGAAGTTCTTGATGATGATCTCCCTTTAAAGGAGATGCATCTTGTTGGTATGAGTAGTACTATTAATCCATTTAAATTAAATCTCAAGTATTATAGGATCATCAAAGCAGCCTGTCACAGGCCTTGGTCAGACCAGTGATGGTCATCATACCAGCCTCACATAAGAACCAACCATAGATAACATCACACAAACCATGTTAGACCTGGGCTAATGCTTGCTCAGACCAAAAATGGTCATCATAGCAGCCTGCCACAAGGCTGGCTTAGACCTGAGATGGTCATCATATCAGTCGCACATACCAACCAAACATACATAACACCCACATCATCCTCAAATATTCATCATAGATGAAAACCAAAAATTTCAGTCCTAATCACACCATACACTCATCATTGCTGCCCCAATTTCAAACACTTTCACACAACGAGATTACATATTCATGCAACGAAGCTAAATCAGTCAAACATAATGACACATGAAGACAGGTTAAGATAGAAACTACCCTGTTAGGTGTCGATGTCCCACATCCTAGATTCCCAGCCAAGTAGAATGATTTTTAAGAAGGCCTCCAGACTAGGATTGCGAAGAGGGTGCATTTGCACCTCTCTCTGTCTTCTAGTGGCTTCGAACTCCCGAACCTCTTCGTGGTCAGCCACCTCATGCTCTTCATTGTCCTGTATCACAACCTCCATCGGAAGTTGACGGTGTTCGTCATCCAACTCTTCATCATTGTCCGAAACCACCTGCTCCAACAGACCTTCACAGTCTACCTCGTCCGACTCCTCTTCGCTATCCGGAACCACAAGGTCCTCCATGCATTGAATGTATTCCACTGGATCTTGACGAAAGGTTGGGGGGCTTGATTTTGCATCCATGGAAGTCAGATGTAGGGTTTGAGAATTTCAGAAAAGGAGCAATGATTAATTAGGTCGACGAAGGAGCTAGGGTTAAAGTGGATATCAAATCAGAGAAGGAGAGAGTTTTATTCCGTACAAGTGTACAACAATGGAGGAGTGGAAGACCGAAGGAGGTTATGTCGGAAATGGGAAAGTGAGAGAGAGAGGGAGATGGATCGATTAGGGTAAGATGTAGGGACGGAACTGCCAGGGGGCCGGTGCCTCTGCTCCGGCCGCCGAGCTAGGGTATATATAGGGGTTTTGGGGGACGCCGGAGATGTCCGTTGAAGTTTCCGGCGAGCTGTTCTGCTGCAGGGAAGAGATGAAGACACGATCCCTTTTTTTTTATATAAACAACACGACGTCGTTTGGTAGTTGTTTGAAAAAAACGAGCCCTTGTGAGGGAGTGCCACAAGGGTTAGGTCCCGGGTTCGAATCCCGACAACTCTGATGAGAGATTACTATGCTAAAATGCATAGGGTCTCTGCAAGCAACGAGGACAGATCTCCACTCACTATCTATCAGATTGAGATTATAGTCCAATTTACATCCTCCCAACGTACCATTCAATCAGGGTTGAGGTACCCTCAAGGATGACGTGATCCTTTTTTTTGGAAAAAAAAATAAGGGCCCATCGGGCAAGGAAGGCTCAATGCCCACCAGCCTGCAGCCCAAACCAAAACCTTTTCCCACTTATCGAAAAAACAACGCCCAACAGACCTCCGCGTTCCGCCTCTCCCATACCCCTTGTGCGAGACAGCAACCAGCAGACCTCTTCCCATCTTCCGTGGATGGAGGAGTGGAGGTATTTGTCTTTGTCTTCCGTTGCTTTGCTTTTCCGTTTGTTCTTTTTTCTTTTCTTAATTAATACTTTACACGTTTGGGAGCTAAGAAATACTTTCATCGTTAAAAATAGTGATATGTCACGGGTTTTAATCTCGTAATAATCCTACCCGTAAAGAGAGGCTTCCCTCTGTCTTTTTGCGTAGTCGCACCCCCCGAGCTTTTATCAGGTAAGACCGTAAGAATGCTGCATCAATATTTAGTTTCATCTGATTTTTTGGTTTCGTCCACCAAATTGGAGTAACCGATTAAGCGCTCTATTTGAAAGTCTGAACTTTCGAGGGATAAGTCCTTCGTTAACTAGGACCTGACCAGTAGACCAAAGTTTCATCTTCTTTAGACTCCTAACTCAGTTTTGAGCGTAAACTTTTATCTGGCCGATGATGAGATCTGGTGAGGTTTAGACTTTAACGAGCCCCAAATAAGGTTCGAATAAGCTTTCCAAATTGCCAACTTATGATTCCCGGAAGGTTGTGCTTGAAAATGTCAATCAGTGATTTGCTACCTGCACTTAAACACCAGGCAAAAAAGATAGGCCTAACAGACCAGGAAGAGGGCTTAGGAATATCTAGGATAGTCATGAAATAATCCCAGACAGGAATAATCATCTGACATTGTATAAGAGCATGGCTCATTGATTCAGTATGTTTTCTACAAAAAGGTCACATAGAGGGCTGAACCACAGTTTGAAATCTTCTGAGATTATCAGTGATGGGTAAAAATCTGTTAAATACCTTCCATTGAAAAATCTGTATCTTCAATTGTTGACCAGGATGCCAGATGTGCTGATTTGATAATGTAGGTGATAAATTTTCTCTGATTTGAAAGTGAACTGTCCATTCTCCTCACGATTCCAGGTCAATGCATGGGTAGAAGGATCTGCCTCACAATTTGAAGATGCCAGACTATGAATGTTACAAATTCTGCGCCAAATAGGGGAGTCTGTGACCTTAGGTATCATGTTTTCTCCTCTAGGATATCTAGCCTTAATAAAATCAGTCCAGAGGTTATTCACACTTCCAATTTCACCATAGTTTCAAAGAGAAGGCTTTCTCAATATCTGACAGAAAGTTTGACATGTTTATCTTAATGTGCCATGTTTGTGCTCAATCTTATCTTGACTCTGGTAATTGGTTATCAACTTATCATGTTGACAAGTATTGGATTTGTGAACACAAATTGTCAGGTCTAGATACATCAGTCACTCTTAAGAGCAAATAGAACGGCAGTGCTTAACCTGAATCAAATGCTAAGAGAGAGTATCAGGATGAGCCGCCTTCGGTCCTGGTACACAGCAGAGACTCATTTTATCTACCCGTATGACTTCCGGTTCCGAGGGCGTCGGCACAGATTATTTGCTACGTCCTGTTCTGTCTCTACCAAAGTGACAACAGGAAGAAAGGAGAAGGTGATTGTGATATCTGGACCTACCGGTGCTGGAAAAAGCAAGCTTGCATTTGATCTTGCAAAGCGACTCAATGGAGAAATCATAAGTGCAGACTCAGTACAAGTTAGTAATTTCCTGAATCTGTTTACACTCATGAATTGTTTTACTATAATACTAAAAGCAAGAATTTTGTATAGTAAATATTGGAATTTGTAGTGAATTGATTTTGTAGATGATTACTATGTAGTATGGAGTATAGATTTACATTTGTATCAGTAATTATAAGATCTTGTTTTGACCATTTCCAGGTGTACAGAGGGCTAGATATTGGTTCAGCAAAACCGTCTCTCACTGAAAGAAAGGTACATACATAGTATGTTTGCTCAGCGGAAGAAACACATTTTCTGTATTTGCTTTTATGGTAGTTCTAGTAACATCGCTGACATGTTGTGAGTTGGTTGTTTTTGGGATACTATCAAGGGTTTGTATTTCTACTAGACTTTGGTACTATAATATTTTAATGTGTTCTCAGTTGCTCATTTGCTTCTTACTTCTGAGAGCATTTGCAATTGCTGACATTTTCTTTATCTGCATTTACTCATATCTTTGAGTGCCAATATATTGAAATAAAATCCTTCTGTCCCACAAAAGTAGGCTTGTATGTAATTGCCCTGGCATTAGAAAATAGTTATCATGCTAGTTGGAATGATTTATTTCATGTGCAATTCTTATGATTTCCCTTTTTCTGAGTCAATTAATGAATAGCTCATGCCTGGAAATTCTGGAAGTGAAAATTTAAGTAAGAGTATACTTGAAAGTGAAAAATTAAATCCACACATGATATAGAAACTACCAGGCTATCTTTGTGGACGGACCACTGTCATAATAGGGAGAAGATTCTTCCACATTGCAATCTTCTGCTTCTTTGTAGCGCTTCATATATAAATATTTTCATAGGGTCATACAATTAAGGTTATGCACGCTAAGACGAACTCCCTTATTTCATTGACAAATAAGGTATACAACTAATATCAATGTGTATAGTCAGCACCATACAATCAAGTATAGTTTTTATAATGAAAGAGACCACAGAAGAGGAAAATCTATAATGCCTGATGGTTAGACATTTGATTAGTTTGTTTTTGTTATTATACAAAGTGTTAATTTCACTATCTTTTCAGGAGGTGCCTCACCACCTGGTTGACATTTTGCATCCATCTGAAGGTATTGTTGGTATTGCTATCTGCATCATATAAAGAACCTGAATAGTATAATGTTAGTGAAGATGTTTTTTATATACGTCTTAATGTCTCAGATTTTATTTTATTTTATTTCAAAATAATTTTGAAGAAACCATGACAGGAATTAGAATAATTGTTTGAATATGTAATTCCCGAGTTATGGTGATCTCTGTTCTTTTGGCAATAAACTGTATCCCATAATGATGAACTTTTTATTTCTCGCTCACATTTCTTCACATAGATTATTCGGTTGGGAGGTTTTTTGAGGATGCAAGGCAAGCTACTAAAGATGTCATTAACAAGGGCCATGTTCCAATTGTGGTAGGCGGTACAGGATTGTATTTACGGTGGTATGTTTTCTTATTTTTCTCACATTTAAAACACTTCATCTATTTTTTGAGGATGCAAGGCAAACTCACAAACACCTACTTATGTGATGACTATCCTCTCCAAAATTCTAGGCTTGTTTACGGGAAGCCAGATGTTCCTAAAGCCTCTCGAGAGATAACATCTGAAGTGCATACAGAGATTGCAGATTTACAGAGAGATGACAACTGGGATGTTGCTGTTGAGTTGGTGGTTAAAGCCGGCGATCCAGGAGTTAAGTCTTTAGCAGTAAATGATTGGTATCGTTTACGTCGCAGGCTTGAAATCATTAAAGTAATTGCAACTTTCTGCTATTTGTTTGTGCACCCCATGCTATGTTGTTCTTTCTTATACATGCACTATATTTATACCCACTACAGAGTACGTTTTCCATTTTCATACACCAAATTCCATCATCTATGATACTTATGCATATTCTAGGGCTCATTGTCAATGAAATTGTTAACTATATATAGCCTTTACCAATGCAGTCTAGCGGGTTATCTCCATCAGCTTTCGAAGTACCATATAATTCTTACAAAGAACAGATTGATTCAGGAGTAGCAGATGCTTCTGACAATAGCTGTTTAGCTGTCGATGGGCTTCAACAGATTAAAGCAAAGGACTTGGATTATGATTTTCTCTGTTTCTTTCTTACTACACAGAGACTAGATCTCTACAGAGCAATTGATTTTCGATGTGAAGATATGCTCTTAGGTAAACCATATACGGAGTATTATCTTTCATGGTTACTCCTTTTTCCCTGTTGCACTATCTGACCTGTTTTTTTGCGGATTTGGGCTCACATGTTTTCTGTGAATGTCTCTCATTTCCATTTCCCTGCATGGCATGACAAATCCTAGTGGTGTTTCATTTTTATTCCACTATACAGATGAAAATGGAATCCTGTCCGAGGCTAGGTGGCTTCTTGATTTGGGTCTTTTGCCAAACTCAAATTCTGCAACTCGAGCTATTGGTTATCGACAAGTATATCCCTTCTCTTAGGTGTTGGAAACTTGGAATATAATCCAGACCAAAATTTTATCGCTATCAACATTTTACAAGGATTCAGAATTGTTGATTCCCCAGGAATCAGTGTTCCAAAAGGCAGCTAAAGGGCGTCGCCTATGCACGTCTAGGAGTTAGGCTAGTGTGGAAAAGGCGGTCAACTCAAGAGTTGACCATCAAAGGCGTAAATTGGGTGCTAAGTGCGCAACCATAGCGTGATGTGCGATTGTTTTAAGACAATTTAACTAAAAATGGGCTAAAATATATTCTGTAGATGAGCTCACTTGTGTGATATGTTAACTATGCATTCTTTCTTAAAAAAAGACAATAACAGTATTTGATTTTGTATCAGTGGTTTTTAGTTACTTTAGTTTTTATGATTAAAAAACGTAATAAATATTATTTTTTTCATGTACATCACCATAAAGTAATAAATACAACAACGACATCCAAGCCTTAGTCCCAAAAAGAATTAGGGGATGGCCATAAAATAATAAATAATAAAAATACAAAACCTCTTTTCATGCCTAGGTTTGATTTTATTGAATGATTAAATGAACTTAAATTTACGTTTGTTGAAACATATTTCAGGCTATGGAATACCTCCTGTTCTGCAGAGAACAACGGGGGTCCAGCTCTTCACGGGAGTTTTTTGCATTCCTATCTGAATTCCAGAAAGCTTCTAGGTAACTTTTTCTTCATTAATAACCGTCCGTCTCCATGTTTATTCAACTATAGTAGTACATTCATGCCAAAAACATTTTGGTGTTTCTGTTTTTCAATTGCAGAAATTTTGCCAAAAGGCAGCTTACATGGTTCCGTAACGAACCACTTTATCACTGGATTGATGCTTCAAAACCAATGGTACTAGGAATTATGGTTCCAATTCCTTGAAGATATTTTAATAATATTTTTATTCTTAGCAAGATCTATGATAGGAATATGGCTTAATAGGTTAATAATAGAAATAATAATAATTGTATGGGAACTTATAGTAGTATAAATAGAAGGGGAGAGGAGGAGTAAAAGGTAGGCAAGTATTCAGTTGGGAATAGACTGGGAGACTGGGCATCTCGAATTGTCCAAGGCACTGTATACATTCTGTGATCTGTTCATCTTTGTGAATAAAGTGTTTCAATCTGTGCTTGTTCATTTCTACTGATTTTATACTGTTCTGAGTTAGAGAATTCCAGTGTTCTATCATTCGTATCAGAGCATTACGTTTCTGGTGACCGTAGCGTTGATCGGAAAGGTACGCAGATTCCAGAAATTTTCGTCGCAATCTGTGAATGGTCAGAACGAGAGCTAAAATGGAGAATCGAGTTGATTCGCTGGAACGCAACCTGCTGGAAGTACGTACGGAGATGCAGATGGACTTAAGGTCTGCGATGGAGAGCATAAACGCTTCTATGGCAGCGATGAATGAAAAACTTGAATCCAAGGGAAGACCACGAGCATCGCACAGTCCGATTGCTTCCAGAGGTAATTCCGTTCACTCGAATGGCCATAATCATCGACGTAGTGATGAACAAATTAGAATACCTGTGCATTTTGGTAGAAAGGTAGATTTTCCTTTGTTTAACAGTGAAGGAGCCTTTAACTGGATTATACAAATGGAGAGGTATTTTCGTTAAATCACATTGAAGAGGAAGAGAAGGTTGAAGCTTCTATGGTTGCTATGGAAGATAGGGCTTTGAATTGGTTTCATTTGTGGGAGAATCGGACTGAAGAAACTAATTGGGACACTCTGAAGAAATCTATCATTCGTAGATTTCAACCTGAGTTGATTTCTTCATCCGCCAGCAGTTCACGACCAAGTAAGACTATATTGAGAGAAGCTTCCCGTTCGCAGATGTCATCCCAAACCGCTTCAGCGCCTTCGCGAACAGTTTTGCCTAATTCGCAGACTTCGTCTCGTGCACAGGTCTATGCTTAGTCGCGAGCACTTCCTTCCAGTTATCTGGTTTCTTCGTGAACCTCATCTCATAGTTCACAATCGCGAACTTATTCGCAATCGCAATCTTCTTCACAATCGCAATCGCGAACAGTGTCTACCAGTTCGCAGGACTCAGTTCGCAGAGCTCAGCGCATGACTTATCTCAGTTCGCAGGTCTCATCGCAGATCTCATCGCATATTTCCGCTTCTCATAGTGCTCAAGTTGAGTCAGCATCGATCCTTCATCCGTACGTTAGTCAGCGACAACTTCCCTCCAAAGATGCGTTCATCCAGGGTGATGAGGGAGGGGAGGAGAAATCTTATGTGATGACTCAAGCCTCTAGTACCATTGAATATGAATCGGCTGATGATTCAAATACTACTGACACAGTACAAGTTGACGAGCATCAAGCTACCTCAGATAATGCTGCTATTAATGGAATTAATAGCGAAGAAAGAGATGCAATATTCCATAGAGTCATAGAGATTGGAATATCATCAGACATTTTACATGACACCACTATAATGCACCAGTCAGTAAATGATATTGCCATATCTCAGAAAGAGGAACCATTAGGGAACATTGTGAGAACCATTTCTCTGGATTTTGGTGCCTGGACTACCTGTATAGAGGAAATTGAGAAAATAGATGAGGGAAACATTCTGAAGAAGTATGTAGATCACGAGACATGTATTTGTTCTGGGGATAAAGTTGTTGAGGTTCTGGAAATTCCAAACCAACAGTTAGGTCGCTACTTTGCAAATTGTAAGGTGTTGGTTGACAGGAGGCCACTATCAGAATGGAAATCTGATGAAGAGAAAGAATCTGCAGCAGTTTATGCTGGCTCGGAAACCACTATTCATGCCAGAAAGGCTGCTGAAATTGCTAGAGGAATAGCACAGGAAGGGATGAAGATTGAAAAGCAGGGTTGCTTTGTTCGAATCTACAATGGGGGGCAAGGTTTGGGTCCATGGTCTGAGTTTGGAGTGGATCCTAGCTCTGAAATAAACTCAAGGTATCTTGTTGAGCAAGTTGTTAAGTGCAGAGAGGTCAGTTCTATCCCTACAGCAAGTCGAATCAACTGCAGTACAACAACACCGATAATGTTGTCCTAAAAGGAATTGGTTAAACCGGGAATGGTTATTTCTGGAACCATCGATCTAGTTACTCATGAGGCTCCATTTTTTTTGAAAGGAATGATTCTTCCTGGACATTTATACGATCATAGTAATCTTGCTGGGTTAAGGAAGTATAGCTTGAAACCTGGTTTTGAAATTTACCAGTTTTCGGTTATTGATGTTGAAGGATGCAATTTGGTACTTTATGCCAAGGACTCAGTTAATAATGAAATTGGTCAACTGACAGTGTCAATGCAGCAGTCATTATGCTCTTCTACTGATGTTTCAATTATGCAAGAAAGCGTTCCATCAGAAAACAGGATTGACAAGCTTCTAGTCTGGGGCTCCTCAGATCCTGGACTGAGAGGGGCTGATGAGAGTGATTTTGAATATCATTCGGGTGGAATCAATGTGGAACTGGATCCTACACTTCAGGCGGTTGTGATTGATGTCTCCCAGATAGGGTACCTCGTGGATCTATTTTTAAAACCAGAAACTGTGAAGGGAATCACAGCTGCCAGAACATTGAGGGATGTACTGAATATTCATTGTGAAGCTATTCAACAATCAATCTGTAACCGTAGCTCTCTTCATTGGCAATCCAAACAGGAGGTTGGGAATGTTTTTATCATTAGGTTTATGGATATCTTCATGAGTAACAAAGCAAGGGAGCAGGACCCAACAGTGTCATCGGCTCATTCATGCGAGGGTGCAGATAAAGAGGATGGCTCGAGTGTTGAAGCTAAAGATCCAGAACGCAATGTTGTACTGGGAAGGGAGAGGTGCTTGGATGAAGATAAAATTGATAGTCAATGCCGATTCCTATCACCCACCTGGAGGACAAGGTGGTTGTTTAGCGGGGGAGTATTGATAGGAATATGGCTTAATAGATTAATAATAGAAAACAATAATAATTGTATGGGGACTTATAGTAGTATAAATAGAAGGGGACAGGAGGAGTAAAAGGTAGGCAAGTATTCAGTTGGGAATAGGCTGGGAGACTGGGCATCTCGAATTGTCCTAGGCACTGTATACGTTCTGTGATCTGTTCATCTTTGTGAATAAAGTATTTCGATCTGTTCTTGTTCATTTCTACTGATTTTATACTGTTCTGAGTTAGAGAATTCCAGTGTTCTATCAATCTAACATACACCGGCGTTGTTACAGGAAATTCTGCTTGAATTCATATATGATTCGTTTCATAGTGAGTTTGGGTCTCTGGAGGTACCCCAATCTCTCTTCATGGAGAAAGATATGTCAAGCCGGCGTGAAGTTGCAGAAATGAAGGCATACCGTCCTAAAAACAAGTATGCAACCAGAAATGTGTAGAGCCTTTTGTAAGAGTAATGTTTGATTGATGTTGTTAAGGAAATGTTGACAAATCTTTAAAATATCAACAACAACAACATCCAAGCCTTAGTCCCAAAATATATTGGGGTCGGCTAACATGAATCGAGTGTGCTGTGGTAGGCGTGTGACGGCCAACAGTATCACCTAGTCACATCACATGACATGAATCGAAATATGACAAATCTTTAAAATATATGAGTATTTAAAAGTTATTTTTGGTAAATTGGAGAAAAGTGAAAACTATGGTAAAAGTGTTATTTTTCCATTAATTTCAGTCGGTTACAGTCAAAATAAGTTAGGGTTTAGTAGAATATATGTGGTGTGTGGCCCATAAACGGAGAAGTTCTTTACAAACGTAGGTCAGTAAATTGTGCAAGCTGATATTTTGTTTTCGTTATTTCTTGTTTTTACATACAAATGCAAAATGAAGCCGTTTAATGCATGAACAGGCATTTCGTTGGTCGTGATGATTGCAGCCCTGTTTTGAACTGGGTCCAGAACGCACATAAATCAGCAGCAGCAACAAGTGCATGCAAATTTTAAACTTGCAGCCAAGGGGGCTGGATATGTCTTTGTTAAAAACATGCATCTCCATCTAGGTTCAGTTCGTGGTTATATCTCTACGTATTTACCATTTGATCTGAAATCTATCTTGCAAATATTTATGTGTGCAGTGGAAAATATTTATGCAGATCTTGGAGAACAGTGGAAAATTACAGAGTAGTTATGTTCAAACTAAGCACTGTGAATCTTTGCAGGAACTGATGGCAATGGTAAACTGCCCAGGTTGCGGCTTTGTATATTTATTAGTGTGTTAGTTTTGTAATGGTGTCCACTTAGTTTCAGTTTCAGTAGGGAGAGCATTCTTCAACTCAATGTCAGACATTTTTTTATGTACACTTAGTTTAAGTTTTTGTTAAAATATTACGCCTATAAACAATGGGCAATTACAGAGTAATCCGTGTACTATTTAGATGTGTTTGCCAAAGAGACTTAATTATTAGAGACCAGCGCTGATAGTTAAAGCAAATGAGTTTATACGATTTTGGGTTGAACTAACTGATCAAATAATTCAAAATTTCTGTATGTTTTATACTGGATCCTAAATTATACAGAGTAATATAGATATTTATAAAAACCTATAGATATTTATTGAATTAATCGGCCTAGTCGGACCGATTGATCGGCACCTAGTCGATGGGTGGCCCCCTAATTGTGGAGGGTCAATCGCCCTAGCTGGGGAAAAATCAACCTATTCGGTGTCTAGGCACTAGACGTTACTCAACCGCCAGATTAGTGCATAGTAAGTTCTAAAACAGAGTTTAGATTATAGCTCCGGGATTTGATTGGTAACCTGAAGCGATTTTATTATTGACATCGTTTTCAAAGGCGTTGCTTCTTTGCCCCTCCATAAAGATAGGCATTATGCTGGTCTTTGAGCTCCATTAGATTCAACGTCCCTCCATAAGTGTTTTTTTGTGTGTAAGAAAAAAATGTGGATTTTGAATGTGTCGTAGAGAATCAGAGATGAGGCCCGTCTCTTTTTTAAATCAAATCGTCCCTAAAGATTGGCATTAGGGTTGGATTCGGTTCGGGCCACCCGGCCCGTGACCCGGCCCGGCCCGGTACTGTGCGGGCCCGGGACCGGCCCGGTCGGGCGGTCCGGGACCGGGTATGGGCCCGAACCGGGGGGAAGGGGCGGGGCGGGCTCGGTTCAGCATTTTTGTGAGCCCGGGTCCGGGTCTATTTTTTTAATTTTTTTTTTTTTTGATTTTTGGCTACTAGCCGTTGAGGCCTTGGGGGTGGGGCTGGGGACAACCCAAACGGCTATATAGCCGTTGGGTGGGGTAAAGGGGGGGTCCGGGGGGGTGGGGGGGGGGGGGAGTGGGGGGTAAAAAAACCTATAAATACTCCTACTCTTAAACATTTTTTCATATCTCTTCTCCAATTCTTCCTAAATTCATTCTTAACTCTCTACTCTCTAATTCTCTTATTCTCCAATATATTATATATCTACTCTAATTCTCTTCTCCAAGAAGTTAAGATGGAAAATCAAAATGCCATTATACGGTATAATTTTGATAAGCAGAAGGACCCGAAGACCGGGATGTGGTACGCAATCTGCAAATGGTGCGAAAAAAAATGTATTATGGGGGCTTCAGGCGGATTCGGGAATGCAATCAAGCATATGAAGTCATGTGACAAAGGTCACAAAGCCAAAGGATCGGGAGGTGCGGGAAGTTCCGATTGATTACAATTTTCAAAATGTTTCTCTTAAAGTTTGTTTTAATTTTCAAATGTAGTTCCTATTTCATTTCAAATAAATGCAATTGAAGTTTGTTTTTAATACTCTTATAAAACTATAAACTATAAAATATAAAATATAAAATATAAATTATAAAAAAAAAAAATTAACCGACCCGGCCCGAACCGGACCCGACCCGTGACCCGGGCGGGTGGCCCGGCCCGAACCGGACCCGTCCAACCCTCGGGCCGGTCCCGGGCCCACTGTTCTTGAACCGGCGGCCTGACCCGGCCCGAATCCATCCCTAATTGGCATAGTCCCTAAAGATTGGCATAGTCCCAAATTTGGTCAAATGTTTGTAAATTGTAATATCAATGTTAATTGAATAGGTTTAATGTGAAAGTTAAATTTGTCACAAGTTAAAACTTGTAAATTGTACGAATATTTGGCTAAACAATTGAGAATGTGGTAGTATAAAAATGTGGATATCTAAAAAATTATTGGGCCAGTTCTGATAATCATTGGGCCTCTTCAAATGCTATCGGACTATTCTCTGTTTTATTGGGCCTCATTTAAGTGTTACTGAATCAACGTTGATGTCTATTGGGCTGCTCATGAATGCTATCTGCCTTATCAAAAGGAAAATATGGACCCGTTCAGATAAAATGCAATGATTAAATTAATTTTGGTCATTTAAATATCCAATTAATTTAATTATAAAATAAATCTTAAAAAGAATGGACCAGTCCTATTAATTTTGAGCCCAATATTAAAGAATGACCCAATAAATTAGAGACATGATCCAATATATGAAGAGGAGGACGAATCTAGTTAAGAAATCAACCCATATGCATGGAAAATGGCTACGAACCTCGTTAAAAAGGCTGTCCAGATACGTCGGACAAGTGCTGATTTTTTAGCTATTAAAATTCAAGAAATAGAGCCCAAAGCCCATTTTCATTGAGGCCCAAGGGGTATAGACGAATTTCCAAAACCCTAAAGCATATTTTCACCCACTCCACACCTATAAATAGGGGTCTTAGATTAGAGGAAGGGAGGAGAATTTCCAGACGAAGAAGCGCTGCAGAAAAGCTCTCAAGAACTCCCGAAAGGCTCTGAACGATTCCGAAGAAGAGGAATAGTTCAAGCCACGAATTTTATTAAGAATATACGAATAATCCTTCGTGATTTCGTCGATTCTTAATAAAATAAATCCAAAAGTTGAAGAACGTTCGAAGATCTGAAGAACGAAGTTTGAAGATTCGAAGATCTGAAGAACAAGACTTTGAAGATTTGAAGATATGAAGAACGAATCTTTGAAGATCTGAAGATACTCATATGAAGATTGAATTGAAATTTAATTGAAGATCAAGCCATATATCCCGGGAGGCCCTTAAACAAAAGATCAAGCCATAAAACGACCCGTTTGTTGAAGATCAAGCCACTTGAAAACCGGGGGCACTTCAAGTTGAATTCTTAATTCAAGAAGATTTGAAGATCCGACGAACGAAGATTCGAAGATCTCAAGAACGAAGATTTGAAGATCTGAAGAAAGTTCGAACGTTTGAAGGATTACAGATTTAATTTTGAATTAATTTCTTTAATTATATTCATGTCAAATTGCAAGTGAAGAATCAGAGGATTCATATTTAGAGATTGTACCCAATATTCTCACATATTATTATTTTTGGCAAATTTTTGGCACGCCCGGTGGGACATCTCTACCTCTCATCTCTTCACTTTTGATCAAGGAAAGCGAACCAATGGCATCAAGCAAGCCCGTGTTCACTTTGAATTTTCGAGCATCATCAGGCTCGAATCAAAACATGCAAGACTCCATCAGTAGGAGCCGATCAAGAATCCTAGCTGCACAGTCATTTTCGGGAACTACTCCCGGTGCAATGGAGGGATTTCAAATTGCGCAAGAGATGGATCAGAAGCTTTCTTCATCCATACATGAAGTTACTTCCCCGAAGTGGACAAACGGTGGTGAAAGTTCATCATCTGGTTCAGACTCTACTTCTCCATCAACTTCTCCACGAAGAACTACCCCACAATGGTCAAATGTCTACACTATGATGCCCACTATGACGACGAGCACCACATCTATGGAAGAACAAATTGCCCATCTAACTAAGGTCATCGAGGGGATGAGCATGTTCATGCAAGCTCAAGATCAGAAGTTGAATGATCTAAACAGCAAAGTGGAAAGCTTGAAAGGCGACTCAAGTCATGGCCATGAGAAGGATCCCGAAGTGCATGAAGATAATGATTCTCACCAAGAGGATTCGGGAAAGAACATCTCAACCTCTGGGGGCATGATCCCGATTGATCAACTCAAAGACTTCATCATGGGAACCATAAAGGGGAAGATAGAAGGAAAGCAATCTACTTACTCCTATGTTAAGCCATACACTTAAAGGATCGAGGATTTGAAAATGCCCATTGGATATCAGCCGCCGAAGTTCATCCAATTTGATGGAGAAGGAAATCCGAGACAACATGTTGCCCATTTCGCGGAGACTTGCAATAACGCGGGAACAAACGGAGATCACCTTGTCAAACAGTTTGTGCGTTCTTTGAAAGCAAATGCATTCGACTGGTATACCGACTTAGAGCCCGGTTCCATTGACAACTGGCAAGATATGGAACGTGAGTTCCTAAACCGTTTCTATATCACATGGAGGGTGGTGAGTTTGCTTGAGTTGACAACTACTCGCCAGTGGAAAGATGAGCCTGTGATAACCTACATCGAACGTTGGAGGGAACTTGCCCTCAACCACAAAGATCGGATCTCTACAAACTCTGCAATTGATATGTGCATTGAAGGCATGCATTGGGAGTTATGTTATATTCTGAAAGGAGTGAATCCAACTACTTTCGATGAATTAGCAAGCAAAGCTCGTAACGTGGAGTTGAGCATTGCAAGTAGTGGAAGACAAGCCATGGGCATATATTCCATGAACAATGCCGCTGAAAAGCAAGATACCAAGAAAGGGGGCAAGCCCTTCTCTAAATTTGAAAAGAAAGAAGCGATGGTTGTGAAAGCTTCACCAGTCAAAGTCTTCACTCAAACTACCGAGAAGGCAAAGCAGGTTGCTAGAGTTGAACCTGAAACCTCTGGGCATGTCAAGCCGACTTTGCGAGAAATGATGGAGAAGCAATATCCTTTCTTGGAATCTGATGTTTCTCCAATGTTCGATGAACTGACGAGGTTGAAACTTGTTGATTTACTTCAGTCGAAACGACCCGAGGAAGCCACAAAGGTCAATGATTCTAATTACTGCAAAAATCATAGAGTGTTGAGTCACCCGATAGAGAAGTGTTGGGTGTTCAAAGACAAGATTATGGCTTTGGCCCGTGAAGGAAAAATTGAACTTGCTGATTCTGCAGCAAGCACAAATCAAATTACCATTACATTTGGTAGGTTTGCTCCGCTCATGGTCGACAATGACCTAAATTCTCACAAGCATAATCTCCCTTTTACTGTCAAGGGAATGAAAGGATGTCCGTCTCTCACCACAAGAATGGCACTTGAGGATGTCGATGAAAAAGGGAGACCATGGATCTTGGTAACTCGAAAGAAACAAAGGAAGAATCATGAAACTAAGCCACAACCAAAGAAGGTGATAAAGAAATGGGTTAGGCGACAACCGCTAAATGAATTGAAGAAAAGGAAGCAAAGGAAGGATCATGTTCGTCCCAAGGTTGCACGAAGAGTAATTACTCTCAACGATTATATGCCAAAGGATTTCAAGAGCAAGATAACTCAAACATCGAGTTCTTGCCTTAGCACCCATGAAAAAGACGTTGAGAGTTCAAATAGGGGTTTATCTCCAGTTTCGAATAAAGAGGAGGTGGCTGGAGCACAAAGATCTACTTCATACGCCACTGACATTGTCTTTAAAGATGAAGATCTTATGTTGGGTGCTACTCCCCATAACCGTCCGCTTTTTGTTGAAGGATACACTTGTGGACGAAGATTCAGAAGAATTATGATAGATCAAGGGTCTACCGTTAACATCTTAACGGTTCGAGCTATGAAAGATCTTGATATATCAATGGATGAACTCTCCCAAAGTCGCTTAATGATTCAAGGCTTTAATCAAGGGGGGCAAAGAGCGATTGGAATGACCCGTCTTGATTTGGTCATTGGCGGGTTGAAAGCAAGTACTTTATGTCACGTCATTGATGCAAAGGCTTCATATAATCTCCTTCTAGGCCGTCCATGGATCCATGAGATCACTTCTAAACCGAAGTATTTCGTCTTTGATCGAATTGGGGGGGGGGGGCAAAACCAAGACTTGCCATGTTTGATAGGATGGGGCCAAAGCCAAAGAAGATCATGAAGAAAACTTTACAAGAAAGGCTTGGAGTGATCCCCTTCATGGTAAAGCACATGGAAGACCCATGTAGTGGGTAAAACTTTGAGAGAAAGCCAGTGCATGAAAGGCTGGGGAAAGTTCGCTCATGCAAGAAGTCTCTCAACAAATATACAAAAACACAAGTTTTGAATGAATATAGAAGCTTGATTCCATCCCGAATGAGGTGAGAAACTGATGTGGAAGTCTCATGTGGAGAAACTCTCAAAGTACAGATGAAAACAATTATTCATACTCGAACGACAGAAGATAATAAGTTCAGATATGATGAGCTGATTGATGATGAAGAATACATTGCTTCATCTTACCATATTACTTTTGGTGATGAAATCCTGGCCGAAGGTGAAGATGCTGATGAAGCTCCTCTGGAATTTGAAGAGGGAGTGCGAACAGTCTTGGATGAACTAAAAGAGGTAAATCTCGGCACCAAAGAGGACCCGCGCCCCATTTATATCAGTGCTCTTCTATCGAGCGAAGAAGAAGAAGAATATGTGGCCTTACTCCAAGAATACAAGGATGTCTTTGCATGGACATACAAAGAAATGTCGGGGTTGGATCCAAAAATCGTTGTTCATCACGTAGCGATAAAGAAAGGATGTCGACCAGTAAAGCAGGCTCAAAGGCGATTCCGCCCAGATTTAATTCCATTAATCGAGGACGATGTTGATAAACTTATTGAGGCCGGATTCATTCGGGAAGTGAAATATCCTACTTGGATATCCAACATTGGCCCGGTAAGAAAGAAGAATGGACAAATCCGAATATGTGTTGATTTTCGGGATCTTAACCTTGCATGTCCAAAAGATGACTTTCCACTTCCCATCATTGAATTGGTGATAGATGCTGTGACTGGGCATGAAATTATGTCATTTATGGATGGTTTCTCCGGTTATAATCAGATTCGGATGGCCCCCACAGATGAAGAATTGACTGCCTTCCGAACTCCTAAGGGGATCTATTGCTACACGGTCATGCCATTTGGACTTAGGAATGCAGGAGCTACTTATCAATGAGCTATGCAGGCAATATTTGATGATATCCTTCACAAAATCGTGGAGTGCTATGTTGACGACCTCGTGGTGAAGTCAAAAACCCGAGGCGATCATCTATCACACTTAAGAGTAGTGTTTGATCGCTTGAGGAAGTTTGGTCTGAAAATGAACCCTCTGAAGTGTGCTTTCGGAGTTTCGACTGGGAAATTCCTGGGGTTTATTGTCCGTCACAAAGGCATCGAGATAGAACAAGCCAAGATCGACACTATTGTAAATATGCCGGAGCCTCGAAATATTCATGAGTTGAAGAGTTTGCAAGGAAAATTGGCTTACATACGGAGGTTCATCTCGAACTTATCTGGAAGATGTCAACCGTTTAGTCGAATTATGAAGAAGGGTGTGCCTTTCATATGGGACCAAACGTGTAAGAATGCATTTGAAAATATCAAGGCTTATTTGATGAAACCACCGGTCCTAAATGCACCTATCTCTGGCCGCCCTTTGATACTTTACATTGCTGCTCAAGAAAGGTCTGTGGGAGCTCTATTAGCTCAAGAAAATGATAGAGGGAAGGAGAATGCCCTTTATTATTTAAGCAGAATGATGACCCCACACGAGTTGAAATACTTGCCCATTGAGAAATTGTGTATGGCCCTTATATTTGCAATCAAGAAGCTTAAACACTACTTTGAAGCTCACACGATAAATCTTGTCTCCAGAGCAAATCCGTTGAAGTATGTGATGTCCAAAGTGGTTCTATCTGATCGTCTTGCTAGGTGGTACTTGATATTTCAACAGTTTGAGATTGTTTATGTCTCACAAAAATCTGTAAAAGGACAAGCTTTGGCAGATTTCCTAGCCGATAACCCTATCCCTGCTGAGTGGGAACTTTCTGATGATCTACCTGATGAAGATGTTCTCATAATTGAAGTTTTGCCTCCATGGAAGATGTATTTTGATGGAGCTGCACAAAGAGAAGGTGCTGGAGCTGGTGTGGTCTTTGTTACACCCGAAGGTCAAGTTCTGTCATATGCTTTCACACTTACGGAAAAATGCTCCAATAACATCTCTGAATACCAAGCACTCATTCTCGGACTTGAAATAGTTGTAGACATGAAGCAAACACGAGTTAATATCTATGGCGATTCAAAACTAATCATCAATCAAGTGCTTGGAATTTATGAAGTAAGGAAACCTGAACTACATCCTTACAACAAATATGCAAGGGCACTCATAGGATGGCTTGGTGAGGTTACAATTGAACACGTGCCGAGAAATGAAAACAAGCAAGCTGATGCACTTGCAGGGTTAACATTGAACATGGCACACCGTGACGATGGAACTCAAGTACGGGTATGTTAAAAATGGGTAATTTCTCCATTCATCGGAGATGATGGTGCAGCCGAAGAGATAGTCGAGATGCCAACTAGCTCGGTTTATGATATTGAAAATGAAGATCGGAGGCAGCCACTCATTGATTATCTCACTGATGGGAAATTACCTGAAAATCCCCGCAAGAAAGTAGACTTGAAGAGGCGTTCACCGCATTTCATTTACTATAAAGATACACTTTATCGAAGATCATTCGATGGTGTATTCCTTAGGTGTTTGGGTGGAGATGAAGTCTTACAAGCAGTGGAAGAAGCACATTCAGGAGTATGTGGAGCTCATCAGTCCGGTCCTAAGCTGCACTTTCATATCAAGAGGATGGGATATTATTGGCCGACCATGGTAAAGGATTGCATGGACTATGCTAAAAGATGTCAAGCATGCCAATATCACGCAAATTTCATCCATCAAGCACCGGAGCTTTTGCATCCGACAGTAGCATCATGGCCATTTGACGTTTGGGGACTTGACGTGGTTGGGCCAATCACGCCTAGCTCATCAGGAGGGCATTCATACATACTAGCCGCTACTGATTACTTCTCAAAATGGGCCGAAGAAGTTACATTGAAAGAGGTGAAGAAGGAAAATGTCGCCGATTTCATCCGAGTTCATATCATCTACCGCTTTGGCATTCCCCGATATATCTTGACGGACAATGGGAAACCTTTTGACAACAAGTTGATGGACAAGATATGCAAGTTATTTGATTTCAAGCAACGGAAGTCCTCTATGTACTATGCTTCCTCCAATGACCTCGCTGAAGCTTTTAACAAGACTCTATGCAACCTGTTGAAGAAAGTAGTGTCAAAATCAAAGAGGGATTGGCACGAAAGAATGGAAGAAGCATTATGGGCATATAGAACGACTTATCGAACACCTACCCAAAGCACTCCATATTCTTTGGTGTATGGTACCGAAGCAGTCCTTCCCCTTGAGCGCCAAATACCATCTCTGAGATTGGCTATTCAAGAAGGACTCACTGATGAAGAAAACGTCAAGTTGTGGTTGACAGAACTCGAGTCACTTGATGAAAAGAGGTTAGAAGCTCAGCAGAACCTAGAATGCTATCAGGCTCGTCTATCGAAATCATTCAACAAAAGGGTTAGAATTCGCTCATTCCAAGTTGGCGATAAAGTTCTAGCTGTGAGAAGACCTATCATTATCACACGAAAAACAGGGCACAAATTCTCACCTAAATGGGATGGTCCTTATGTTATTCAAGAAGTATATTCAGGCGGTGCCTACAAGTTGGTCGATGGAGATGGCTCAAAGATTGGCCCGATCAATGGAAGATTTTTAAAGCTCTACTACCCTTGATATTTGGGGTATAGATATGGCCATAAGAAATGTTGAATGGCTTAAACCACCAATGATGTTGTAAGTGGCTAAACTGCTAAAACATCTCACCTTGTCTATGGGTGAGCGTAATCATAGATACTCTTGGCCCACGAGAGTTTAAAATGTGTACGGCAAGCTCTTGGCCCACGAGAGTTAAAAATGTGTACGGCAAGCTCCTGGCCCGCATGAGTTAAAACTGTGTACGGTCCCCTCCTTTAGATTACCAATTCGAATGGTACTTATGAACTACGTTTGACTTGATCTCCTTCATAGGAGTACGTAGGCAGCTCAAAAGTTTCATTTTTGAGTTCAGTTATAACAACACAAACCCTCAATAAAGTTTGATCTCAGTCACTTAAAAAAAAACAGAAGAAGAAGCAAGGCAATATCAACTCCTGAGAAGCAACAAAGGAAGCAAATATCCATGTATAGTTTGGTAAGAAGTAAGGAAAAGAGTTGTTTGCTGACTAAAAGCTATTCTTAAAGCTAAGTATCAGCCTAAAAACAATTTAAGGCTAACTAAGTCATCCTTTAAGGCCTCTAGCTCCTTCTTCTGAGTACTTAAAGCAAATTGATCTTCATCTGATGCTTTGATAGTCTTCAAAATCCGTGAAGATTCCTCCTTAGCCTTCGTAAGAGCTGCGTCTAAGTCACTAGCCTCTACACGACGCTCGGAGATCGAAACTTCTACTTCCTTGGCTTCAGCTTCCAATAAGGCTATCTTCTTCTTGATATCATTAAGAGATTTCTCATCATCAAGTAATGCCACTTGGTTTTGAGATCTCTTAGCTTCAATATCTTCACAAAAGCCTGCGACATAGCCAATTCCTGAGATTGTTTCTCAGGAGGAACCCTATCAGCAATAGTCGAGCACGTCTGATCAAATGCTTGCGCCCTTTCAAAGAAATGCTTCACTCTCATCTTCAACATGGAAAGGTCAATGCCCTCCTTCTCCATCAAGATAACACAATTCTCAACACTCCTGAAGAGAAGAGACGTTCTCTGCTGTAGCCCGTCCTAACTTTTGTTGAATGCCACTCCAAGTATTAATGATGAACTGCTTATACAAAGTAAAGAAGTAGTCTTCTACATGGAATATAGATGCAGCCGGTTTCGCATGAGAAGACTTGGGTATTTCATGGATCGGAACTTCTTTGCAATGACTTGGGCCGGTTTTTGCTATCAATCTAGCGACGGTGTCATGATCTGCGCTTTCTCCTTCACTTGAGCTAGATGAAGAAACATGATTCGAGGAACTAGCATCATCAAGGACTGCATGAATCTGCAAAAGAAGGAAGAAATATAAGTACACACTTTAAATAAAACTATGAAATAATGAAACTAACCTTCAGTGGCCCAACACGAGGTTTCCTAAAATGTTTCGAGTTCCTCTCATCACTACTCTGCCTTTCATTGGCAGTAGACATTTCCTTCTCAGCATCCTTAATCAAAACTTCAGCCCTAGGTGCTACAAGTTTAGCCTTTTTCTGAGGCAAAGACTTAGCTTCAGTATCAGGCATTTTTTTCTTCTTGGAGATTGGAGTCATAGGATTTGAAGGGGTGATCACATCGCCAACCGCAAGATTGCAAATTTTGATCAAGTCGCTCACATGATTCTCCAAATAACTTCCATGGACTTGACCCCACCATTCTTTATACTGCAATGAATAAAATTTCGCTGGAATAGTAGGAGGACTCGGAAATACTGCTTCAGCTTGTGACATGCCATGCTCAAACTGTAGCCAAAGCTGAAAGCCAGCAGCAAGTGTGACACTCCAATTACGCATCTCAAGAAAGCCAGGAGCATAAGCCTGAAAATACCCCAATTGGCGACTAAAGCGGTGAGGATTGTAAGGCTCAACAATGCAATGATCCCGGTAGCGTAATACAAGATAATTAGACCGAAGACTCCTAAAAAGCGCCAACTCAACCTCTGGAAGATTTTTACCATCGAAGAATGAATATTCTTTGATTCTTCGATGTGTAGAACACACCCATGCTGATACATCTCCCTGGAAAATTCGTTTGCGCGCACTTCTCTTCTCGAGGGACCTCGCTCCACTTTCTCTCGACTAAGAAATCATTAATGGTGTCGTGGACTGAATCTCATTCTTAAAATGCGTATCAAAGTATGATGCCAACCATCCATAGACATAGTGAATAGGAAAACACGTTCTAACTTGATCAGGAGATGAAGCATTCGAGATCTGATTAAGCCCATGATAGACACTACCAAGAACCGGGACCGCAAGGCATACACGTTTCCCTCGAGCAAGCATACAAGCAACTCTGAATGTTTCCGGGCGGATAACTCTAGGACCTTCATGCGGCAATACAAATGCACAAAGCCAACACGATAAAAATGCCGCTAAATATACCTCTTCCTCATATTCAGTAGGAACCTTGAGTACGTGGAATGGTACCTTCATAGAATTCGACCATCCTCCAAATTTTGGAATAGCTCCGCTCGGATTATGGGTCGCCTTGGCACGAGATGTTCGTTTCTTTTCTGTTCTCACCGGAGGCATAGTATACTTGGAGGCCTTTTTGAACCAGAATTTGACCCACGCATGAACACACAAAACACGCTTATCTTCGGCTTTGGGAAAGAGATGATGATATGCGTGAAATAAATATTTGCAGAGATGAAGTGAACGGTCAGCGCTCGTATTTAACAACTCAAAAGTGCCCGGAATAGATTCATCATATGCGTCTCCAATGATAGGCAATCCTCCGATAACGTGCAAGTCCCAAAGTGTGATCGTCAATTCGCCAATTGACGTAAGCAAAGTATTCGTCGTGGGACACCATGCCTCACAAAATGCTTGAATAGCATTAGTACATCGGTCATACGTGAATAATGAGGCATAAACAACATCGTAAATAAGCCCTTCCTCCAGAACGCTTTTACTCATGCTCAAAATATCCTCGGCCCAGTCCCAATAACCTGTGATGAATCTAAACTCACCACCAAATGATAAGGTCTTTGTCAAAGGGACATTTTCATTAAGGATGCGTCTACCCAAAGAAGGAAGAATCTCAGAAGAGGACATGTGAGTAAAGCCAGACACTAAAGCCCGCATTGTCTGAGCTTGATACTCGCACTCAGGAGTCCAGTTTGTAACTCGATAGGACACAACTGTTGGACCCCAAAACTCGCGAGCAAATGGCTCATGCATCTCCAAAAGAATCTCTTCGTCATTCTTCTTGCTCGTTGATATGGAGAGATACTTTTTGCCTCCACGCTTTACGTCCTTAAAATATATCATTTTGGACTGCAAAAAAAATCATCATTATTCTTATCATTATTACAAAAAAAATTAAAGTAATAATAATAATAATGATAAAGAAAAAAAAAATAGGCCGCTCAGCAATGATAATCAATCTCAAGCCCGAGCAATTGACTTCATCTTCCGACTAGACGAACAAAGAAATCAGTAACACTGACCAATAATTAGTCAAGCTCCTTCAGAATGGACAAAGGTCGAAAGTAGCGGCAACATCTCAGTCTTCAACAGGTACAATTAGCCGAATTCTTTAGATTTGTGCCACTAGCCCAACGAAGGGCCCCAAGTGACACCAATGATCGGCAATCGACCTATATCTTTAGATCGGTGCCACTATCCCAACGAAGGGCCCCAAGCGACACCGACGATATGCAATCGGCCTAATTCTTCAGATCGATGCCACTAACCCAACGAAGGGCCCCAAGCGACACCGACATCCGGCAATAGACCTATTTCTTTATATCGGTGCCACTAGCCCAACGAAGGGCCCCAAGCGACACCGACGGTAGGAAATTGGCCTAATTCTTTAGATCAGTATCACTAGCCCAACAAAGGGCCCCAAGTGACATCGACGCCCGGCAATCAGCCTAATTCCTTAGATCAGTGCCACTAACCCAACGAAAGGCTCCAAGCGGCACCGATGACCTGCAATGAGTCTAATTCTTTAGATCAGTGCCACTAGCCCAACGAAGGGCCCCAAGCAGCACCAATAACCGACAATAGCTCTTCAATTAATGGCGCCGTCACTTGAAATAGCAGAAAATAGGGGCCTCGTTGTGATCTTAGGATTGCCCGGATTCATGGGAAGGCTCAAATCAGAAAATAGGCCCAATTTATTAAAATTAGAGTTGGCCTTGATTTCCTTCAACTTAATCGCACAAGCATCGGCAGCGACAAATTGATTCAGGAAGCTCTTTTCTGAAGCATCAGTAGACAACGATCGAGCATCATCCTTTTCGCCAAAGCTACAATAACGAGGAAGCGGCCAGACCTTCAGTCTGCTCCAGCGGACGGCGACCCCTCACCACTAATCTCCGGCGGCTTCACCTCAAGTCCTGGTAACGAAACAGCAACAGCGGCCAGAACAAAGGTAGATTGCTATAGCTTTAGAGGAATCTCGCTGCAGACCCCCTCCGTGAATCAACTTTGAACTGCCGCATCAACAAGATTCTGGCCGGCAATATCTTGATCTCAGCAACGGTTCATCTCCTTCCTCAGCAAAACAAGCCTCCAGAATATTAAGCGGGCATCATCTCCTCTCGCAGCACTGAGAATCTGAGATCATCGTAATGATGAATAGGCCTCCAAATCCTCTCACGAACTGAATTTGGTCATCATTATGAATTATCTTCTGGTGCAGCTGCTATTAACCCAGAAACCCCCTGCAAAAAAATAAAAAAATAAAAAGAGGATAATGCAGAGGAAAACTTACCTATTGATATCTCTACTTCAGAAAGCTTTAGCAAAACTCTTGCCAAGTATCTCTTGATAACTCGTACATGCAGAAGGGGCGGCTAGAAGTCCATATTTATACATATTGGGTGGAATAGTTTGACTCAGATTTAAGTGCGGAAAGGAAATTTAGAGTTAAAATCCTAATAGGATATCAAAACTTTATGTGGACCGTTTTGTATCCTAACGTGATCGGTATACCTCACAAAGAAGGATTATTTTGTTTTCAGGCTTTTCCGTTAATTTTGAGCCCCCCAAAAAAGAGAGAAGAGGCAAATATGCAAATGACTTGGTCATAGTCGAGACTTACTTCTCCCTTGTCCAGGACATCTCACCAAGTCTCGAAGGGGCATTCGTAGATATCTAAAAAATTATTGGGCCAGTTCTGATAATCATTGGGCCTCTTCAAATGCTATCGGACTATTATCTGTTTTATTGGGCCTCATTTAAGTGCTAGTGAATCAACGTTGAATTCTATTGAGCTGCTCATGAATGCTATCTGCCTTATCAAAAGGAAAATATGGACCCGTTCAGATAAAATGCAATGATTAAATTAATTTTGGTCATTTAAATATCCAATTAATTTAATTATAAAATAAATCTTAAAAAGAATGGACCAGTCCTATTAATTTTGAGCCCAATATTAAAGAATGACCCAATAAATTAGAGACATGATCCAATATATGAAGAGGAGGACGAATCTAGTTAAGAAATCAGCCCATATGCATGAAAAGTGGCTACGAACCTCGTTAAAAAAGTTGTCCAGATACATCGGACAAGTGCTGATTTTTTTAGCTATTAAAATTCAAGAAATAGAGCCCAAAGCCCATTTTCATTGAGGCCCAAGGGGTATGGACGAATTTCCAAAACCCTAAAGCATATTTTCACCCCCTCCACACCTATAAATAGGGGTCTTAGATTAGAGGAAGGGAGGAGAATATCCAGACGAAGAAACGCTGCAGAAAAGCTCTCTCAAGAACTTCCGAAAGGCTCTGAACGATTCCGAAGAAGAGGAATAGTTTAAGCCACAAATTTTATTAAGAATATACGAATAATCCTTCGTGATTTCGTCGATTCTTAATAAAATAAATCCAAAAGTTGAAGAACGAAGCTTGAAGATTCAAAGATATGAAGAACAAAACTTTGAAGATTTGAAGATATGAAGAACGAATCTTTGAAGATTTGAAGATACTCATATGAAGATTGAATTGAAATTCAATTGAAGATCAAGCCATATATCCCGGGAGGCCCTTAAACAGAAGATCAAGCCATAAAACGACCCTTTTGTTGAAGATCAAGCCACTTGAAAACCGGAGGCCCTTCAAGTTGAATTCTTAATTCAAGAAGATTTGAAAATCCGACGAACGAAGATTCGAAGATTCGAAGATCTCAAGAACGAAGATTTGAAGATCTGAAGAAAGTTCGAACGTTTGAAGGATTACAGATTTAATTTTGAATTAATTTCTTTAATTATATTCATGTCAAATTGCAAGTGAAGAATCAGAGGATTCATATTTAGAGATTGTACCCAATATTCTCACATATTATTATTTGCGATCAATTTTAAGTAAATACTTAAAATTTGTTTCACAAAAACCAATGACAGTTACTTACTTGGACGGAGGGAAGTATTATTATATATTCGTAGTAATAAGTAACATGGAATAAATAAAAAGTAACATGGAATTATAATTATAACATTAAAAAATATTCCAAGTGAATAGGTGTTGCCACATCCTTTGATACATTTCCCCCTTTTATCTAGTACACTAAATTTACTCATACTTTAAAATTTTAAATTTCATAGTTTTTATTTTTCTTGATAACAATTCCACTCTCATGTCCCAAGAATAATGTATGGAAGTAGTAATAATTTGTATTTTTTTTGGAAGAAACAGGCTTAAATTGATATCACAACATTCACATAGTGAATAATTCGACAAAAAGAATCCTGACAAACGTCGTCCCGCGAACCAGACTCAGAGTTAATCACCTCAAAAGAAATAATATAATTCGCTGATCCATTAATGCGCACAAATGAGCCAAAAAATGGTTACCCCAATTCTCTCATCCACATATCCAAATCAATCGTCTTACATAAATGAATAACAAAACAAAACATAAAACAAACAAAATTGTCTAAAAAGAAAAAATAAAGCTGATAAACTCGAGTTGTTGTCTGAACTTAGGTGGACTTACTGGTCGAAGTCTACCCCTCCCCATTTTTTGTCCTATCAAGAGTCATGTCCTCCTTCCCATCCTGCACTTCCCCCTATGCCTCCCATATCCTTCTTCTCTTCTGTTCCTCCGCTGATTCTTCCTTTGCCTTACCTCCCACTCCCTTTGTTATGCTCTACGCTGAATCTGCAACAGACTCTTTCTTTCTTCCCCCCAACCTGTCATAATACTTGTTACCCTCCCCATACCCGCGGTCTCTGCCAGAGCTCGATGAACCCTCCAGTAGCTAATGGCTTCCTCATGTAGGACTCGTCTTCCCCCGCTACCTGCTCTAAGGTGGACTCCAATTTTTTCCAGGACTAGATCTTCTTCATAATTTAAATGGCAAAATTTATCTGAATGCCCAATAAGTCCGCAGATAAAACAGAAGTTGGGCAATTTTTCATATTTAAAGTCTATCTGATGGATAGTCTACCCGGGGGGTATATATCCGAGGGGTTATTGCTGGGAATAACTTAGAGAGAAGTCAGAGCACGAGTAAGTAAGAGAGAGTGTATTCAGTATGAATGTCGTGGTTACAAATGGGGAAATGGGGTGCTATTTATAGTAGCAATAAATGCCGGACAGGGACACGTGTCAAGCGCCTATTGGCCGAGGGGTCACCTCAACTGGTTGGCGTTGGCAGCCGCATGTGGCCGCATTTAATGCGGCTGTTGGATGGGACGTCTGTACAGGGTACGATGATCTGCACGCATGTGAGGCGGATATCATGTCGGGAGAGGTGCCTTCGGTTGCAGAGGACTAGCCGAGGACTCTTAGTGCAGAGGGCCCCTGAGTGCCGAGGGCTCCAGGTGCCGAGGGCTACTGTTTTCGCCGTTTTCTCCCAGTTCCTCTGTTTGTTCGAAATATCCATGCTGTGATAGTTTGGAGCCTTTGGCTAGGGGGCCGAAGGCACCCCTGGTGCGTATCGTGGGCAGCTTGGTACTCTGGGCGCCATGATTTGGGCCTGTTGGGCCTTCTGGGCCTGTTGGGCCTCTAAAGGAGTAGTAGGAGTCTGTGGGCCGGGTGTTCCCGGGCCATATACTCCATCAGGAGTCCCTCACTCCTTTTGCCGAAAGGTATTTGAGGGAAAAGGAGTAATTTGTGCTTGCCCTTTGATGTTGTCCTGTCGTGATCTTTTAAGTTGGTGAGGAGTTGCTGCTTTTATGTCCCTGCCGAAGGCAGTCCCTCAGTTACCCACATGTCAGGACTTGAGGGCTTGCTTTGTCGTTTGTTGGAATTTCACTAATTTTGTAATTTAATGATTTTCCCGAGGGGGTCCTCCAGTCCCCCACTCCTTGAGGCACTTGTAAAGTGGTGAAAAGGAGTAGAGTAGTTGCGTTGCTGTTGTGGGCCGAAGGCTGACGCTTTTCGTTTCATTTTGGGGGGATGCCTCGTTAAAAACCTCATTAGGAAAAACCCTGTGGGAAAAAATCCTAATGAGGGAAAAAGAGTGCACCGAATTCCCCCAATGATGAATCGAAAATGTGAAACCTTGGTCAAAATGGAGAATAACGGTAATGCCGAAGGCTCTCCTTGTTCTGAGGGCTCATGTGTTGATTAGCCGAAGGCTTGCTGTTGATGTCCTGGGGGTGCCGAAGGGAGCCTCTCAATCTGGGGATCGAGGGCCTGATGGATGAGTGCAGCAGTGGAGTTGTTATCGGGGGGTCCACTGTTTGTTGGTTAGTTGGCGATGGGGATACCCGGGGGCTCCCATTACCTGTGTGCCGTAGGCTGTCCGTCAATGAGGCAACTCCCCGGGGGCTACCCGGTTTTGCAGTGCTGAGGGGGAATCCCCGGGTGCCCTGATATGAAGCCTTGGGTTCCTGAAGGAGTGATCCCGAAGGCATCTGCCATGTGCTGTGTGGGGCACAACCCGGGGGCGCTTCTGGGTAAGCGTACCCGGAGGCTCTCCTTGATGAAGTGGAGTGAAGCAGAAAAACCCGGGGGCTTCCAGAATATAGCCGTTGGAAATATAGCCGTTGGAATATGTAACGTCAGGTTTATAGCCGTTGGGGGGGGTACACGTGGCGTGTGATGGCTGGCTGTCCGTGGGCGACATCACTGGTTGGGCGAAGACGCGGTGTGTAATGATGGCGTTCATCCGGAGGCCCGGTTTCCGGGCCCAAGCCCGGATTCCAGCGCCTATAAATACCCCAAGCCAGGGCCATTCCTCCTTTACGCATCCAACACCTCTAGCGAAGCTCTGCAAAAAATTCTAGAGAGAGAAACTCAAGCCTTCAGTCAACTCCTTTCAAGGTCAGTGTCCCGCTTTCCCCTCAACACTTTTTGTAAGTTCCACCCCCTGGCCTTAGATTAGGATTAGAATCCTGTAGAAAGCCCTCGAAATCTTAGGCACATTCGTGATAAAAAATGTCGTCCGAGAGCGATTCCCAGGACATCTCGAGGACGCCCTCGATGGAAGACGAAGGTATCTCCGATGCGGAGTCCAGTAGCAGCCAGCCCTCGGGTGGTGATGCAGCTCTCGCCACCGAGATGCAGAAGGATTTGGTGGCCGAGGTCGAGGCGGAGGAGTTCGAGCGAACTGCCGAAGATGAGGAGTTAGCCCTCGCCGTCCAAGTTGCTGAAGAGGAGGAGGAAAAGGAGAGGGCGAAGGTCACTGTCGCTGTTCTTCCCCCCCGGGGTTCTGGGGAGACAAGTAGCTCGAGGCCGCTGGACCCGACGCCGTTAAGTGTAGCCCCCGGGAAGAAGAGGAGGAAGACGAAGGCTGGCCCCCAGAAGAAAGTAAGGGCCGTCGACCAAGGGGGGCCAGTTGATCTACCGGAGGGTTACTCCTTCCTGGACACCGCCGCTCTGGAGATTAAGTCCCAAGCTGATAGGGCGGACATCTACATCACCCAGTTGCACGTAGGGCCCTCAGCCGTAGTAGTCGAGCCAGGTCCTGATGACGTGCTGTCCCGGCCTCCCGAGGGATGTATAGCCGTGCACGTGCTATCGGTTTCAATGGGCCTCCGGTTCCCTCTCCATCCGTTCCTCCGGGAGTACCTGAGGTATACTGGCCTGGTTCCTTGCCAATTGACCCCCAATAGCCACTCATACATAGCTGGGTTTGTGAACCTGTGCAAACTCCGGGTGGTCACACCGAGCTTGGAGTTATTCTTCCAAAGCTTTAACCTATGCCGGGGGGGGCATACCAATGCCGAGGGCTACACAAACTTACAGCAGATAGCCCAGTTCAGACTG